GTTAACTCCTCCCACTGAGGAGGTCTTATGTTCCTTCTGCAATTAGATGCCTCCTGTATCCAGATCGGATTCAATTCTTGAAATCAAAACACCTCTGCTTTGGTTGTTTGTCTTCCAATCACATGGCAAAAGAACGCCTGGAAAGGAAAACATGTACCATTGCTAACCGTACCAGGAAACATCCCAAAATTCTTCACACGAACACTGTGGGAAGAATTCAACCATCCGACATTCCTTCTGCAAGTACCTCGCCACAAGAGTCCACATGCATTCGTAACAGAATGGTTAATCTTGACCTTTCGAGAATAGGCATGGCTGTTGTTCTGGTCAAAGTTTGGTTGAAAGCTACAGGTCCCCCTGTGATTACCTATGCATTTTTGGACAGTGGTAGTTCCTCCACATTCTGCACAGAATCCTTGATGAGACAGCTAGGGGTCAGTGGTACACGAACTCAGATTTCCCTAACAACTTTGGAAAAGAAAGACAGCCTTATTGAAAGTTTCGTTGTGAAAGATCTTTTCATCTCTGATCTGGGTAAAAATGTCTTTATCGACTTGCCAGCACTTTATATGAGACTGAAAATACCCATTTCAAAGGAGGACATATCCACATAGGGTGACATTGACCAGTGGCCACACTTGTGTGGAGTATGCCTACCTGAGGTTGACGCCGAAATAGGTCTTCTCATAGCCTGGGATGTTCCCACTATCTTTGATTGTTTGGAAGTGAAGCAGTCAAAACGGTGGTCCTTATGCTTCCCGATCAAGTAGGGACGGACGGTTAATGGTCCTTTAGGGCGTTATCACAAGGGCCCACATGCAATAAGTTTCTTTTTAAAGGCTGATCCTGAATTTCATCAGATGGTGAAGGATTTTTACAACAGTGGCTTCAATGAATCCAGTGCTGATGACAAACCTGAAATGTCACAAGAAGAGCTTCGTTTCCTCTGCAAGTTGGAGCGTACTGTAGTATTGAGAGATGGTCACTATAAAATGGAGTTACCTTTGAAAGATCGCAAAGAACCAGTCCTAAACAGCAAACTGCAGGCAGAAAAACGCACTTTCTGGTGAAAGGAAAGTACAACATTACAAGGACTTGTACAGCGACTACAAGTGTTTCATGGCAGACATTATTGACAAGGGTTACACCCGCAAGGTTCCAGCAAATCTCCAGGAGTTCAGCATGGACACCCTTCCAGCTAAAACCTTGGTACAAGCAGATTAATTTAAGCAGATAACTTTTGGATGGGGCGTCAATCCTGGATATTACAAGTATGACAGCAAGTTTCCATTACATCATCTTTCAAATATAACTATCTTGGATATTAAATTTCCTAAAATGTGACAGTGATGAAACAAAAAGTACTGCTCTCTATGTTAGTGATATGGTACTAATATTTTGAAGAATCTGTACATACCTGAACCAATTTATTGACTTGTGATAAGAATAATAGAACACATGATATTTGATTTACCCTTATGTTCATTTGCACCGCAACTGAGCCAGATGTGTATTATTATTTTTTTTAACAGGGATGCATGTAGACAACAGGTCAACTCGTACCTTTGCCAAAAGTATAAAACATTGGAAGAAGCAGAAGAGGACCTCTGCATTAACTATTTCAGCAGAGGACTTCAAGGGTGCCCATCTGAAGGGTCCACAAATCCTGGAGATGTTACTCATACTCCAGAGTCCTTGCAGGGAAACAGAACCCTCTTGTCACCTGTATTGGCAATCAGGAATGTTTTGGAGTTTCAATTGCCAAAGTTATCAAATTATTGCCATCAATGCGCTCATGCATGAGATGAGACTTAATGCAGAATTTGTTTTGCCAGTACATGTATCTGGAGTTTAGCCACAATTTTGAGCCATTTATTCCTATAGATTTTTTGGAACTTTGTTGCAGAGGCATTAATGTACTCTACCAAAATGGTAAAGAAAATATCACACAGAAATAAATATAGTCTGAACATGAGGTGTTTTAAATTTATTTGGCCTTCTTAGCAGCCTTGAAAACCTTTTTGCTCCACTGTCCTGTTCTAGAAATATTTAATGTGAAGTAAAAGCCAACTTGCAAATAGTTAACTCTGAAGCAAATATGTGTAACATTAACTTTGATATTGCCATTGTCAATGAGGGGCTGTAGCTCACTTGTTAACTCCTTGGTAATGTAACCCACTTTGTTCCAGCCACTGCAAAGTTTATGAGGACAGTTATTGCATTCTGGTCGTAATCGTTGAAGTTTTGCTATTACCTCTTGCTTTTGTTCCAAACTCACATATGCTTTTTTCAGGTAGGTTTGTCTACCTTTATACGCTACTCTGAGCACTTTAAAAGGAACAGTATAC